TTAGAATTTTTATATTTTTTCTTTCATGGGCTGATTTTGATTTTAGAGATGGTTTAGTAGTACTGAAATTGGTTAAATCTGTTGAAATGGATGAAATTCTGAGAGATGTGGTTGAATTAGTTGAATCTATTGGTTTATGGATGAGTTTACTTTAAAATATTTTATTAATGAAATAAAGAAAAATATTATGTGTGAAGTAGTTAAAATGATCACCTACAATAGTTTCCTCTGTTGAGACACCAAAATAGATTAGAAATTGAATATAGATATTTTAAGCATAATTATAGAGATCGTTAATAAATTACCACCTCCGTCCCAAAATGTTTAGCCAAATCTAAAAATTTAACCATGGTTTTGATTAGTATATATAATATTATGAAAGTTATAAATTTTATACTTTTATGAAAGTACTTTTAACAAAGATCTAACATTTTCATATCATTTTTATATTATAAATAATTTTCAATAAATGTATATTATTGATCAAAGTTTTGGAAAAGGCTAATCATTTTGGGACGGAGGTAGTATATTTTTATATATTCAATATTGATCTCATATGAAAGATCACAAAAAAATATTAAATTTGATACCGGAGTATATCTTTTGTAAAAATGAGAACAAAAATGAAAAAGTTATAACACTTTGAAGAAAATTAGAGTTTTTTATAGGTTGGGCCCAACCAACTTCATCTCCTATGGCTGCTCCCTCCCATTTCAATTGGAGAGTTCGGTATTCTGAAGTGAAAATGCCCACGTGGCACTGCTATAGCTAAAGAGTGGATTAAGGAGAGGCTCAAGAACTATACACCTAAGATTCATTAAGGGTAAAGTTATTTTTTTATGAGCTATTTCTTTTCTTATATATAAATAGATAGATAGAATAGATATGTGCGTATATGTATAAAATTCATAGATTTAATAAATACATCTATGATATATTTATACATATAGGTATATCAGTATATGTAAATCTCTTTTGAAAAACATAAAGCTTATATTTAGTTTTAGAGAAGAAAAAATGAACACGAAGAGAGAATGAGTATCTTGGTAGAGATTAGAAAGAGAAATAAACAAATAAAGAAAGAAGAAAGGGGAAGGAAATGAAAAACAAATACTACGACCTCCGTAGTCCATACTACCTAAGGACGAAAGAAAGAAGCAGGATAGAAGTAATGAGGAAGGCGGTCAAAGCAAGACATACAAACAAGAAAGAAAGAGAAAACGTAAAGGAAAAAGTAAATAAAAAAGGAATAAGAAGTCCACGTGTCAAACAACCTGCTGCAGGGAGTTACCATCCGGTAAAATGACCAATATGACTCTTTTTTAATAGTAAGTATACTTATCTGATACTTTTTTTAGTAGATGGGCTTAAGTGATCTTTTTGGTACAGTAGAAGGGCCTATTTGACCCTTTTTCCGGAATAATAACCTCCTAAACAAGGGTGTGATCTAAACACAAGTGTTTGTACAAGTTCTTGCAGATCTAGAAAATGTAAAACTAGAAAATGTAAAAATGTAAGGGATCATGAACGAAAAATATAATTTTACTGGCGTCTCAAAGAGTCTTCGGCTTCCAGCGTCAGCTTAACACCATCATTAAATCTAGTTGGTGAAAACCCAAGTGTCTGAATGAACTTGGTAATATCCATGGATATGTCTGAGGGGGACTTCACGCCACGGTCAACCTATAAAATCATGTTTGGAAAGAATTTCCAAGAAATAACTGCACTTTCAAGCATTGAGAAGTTTACTGAGCCGACAAAAGTAAAGCAGTTAGATCGCTATTAAGACATCCACGGCATAACCCATTACCCCCCCCCCCCCCCACGGAAGTAGTTGAAACGGCATTTCCTCAACTACAGTTTCTTGGTACTTATGGTTAAGTTATCCGGCCTTTTAACGGATGCATTTCACTGGATAAGTTACCCGGAAGGAAAAAAATCCATTGTTAATAGAGGTTGATAATAAAATTGAAGTCAATGACAAACAGTGTGAATAACTCACAATAACCTAATAGTTGTGATACCAAAAGTGAAAGTTTTTATTACTATTTGCAAACAAATTACTTACAGATGATGAAGAAACAGATCTGATCAACACATTATAACCCTTAATTGCAGCAACAGCTTCAGCCATCTGAGCCCGGGACAGCCTATCGGGCCCTCCAGCATTAACAAGCAATTGTATTGGCTTACTCTCTACAAACATCAATGAAAATGAAATGCATTAGAACTCAAAATAGCCATGACCAATTATAAGATTTTTGGCATTGATCTCATTTTCATTATGAAACTTATACTCATTAAGCTAGAGCATATCCCAGGCAGCTGCCATGTGGGCATTATTAGAAGGTATGGGTTAGAAACCTGCTAAAAAGAGCAATTGCACTTTGTATTATATTGGGATGTTATAACTGCAGCTTATTTTGGTTGAAGGAGTGTGTTTCACATTCTGGAGTTGTAGTGGGTCCTAATGTCCTATTTGACCCTTTGACCTATTTTAAATGTCAAAAATTAAATGACATAAATTTGTATGTAGTAAAAGTTATATTTTTGAATGTTAAATGTGGAATAGCATATCAAACCTGAGATCCATCTGTTAGTCAATATTTGTATGGCCGTTACTAGATCCCTCACATACACAGGACAACGGAACTCATCATGGAAAAATTCTGTCTGATCTCCCTTGGCAAGGACACTATCCATCCACTGCATAGTTTTTATGCTATTGCTGAGCTATCATCAGGTATAACTTAAAAAGCCTAATAGTCAGGCATTTTGATAAATCCTATAGGAAATAGTAATGCAATGGAGTAAGGGCATGTTTGGTATTTGGCTAAACCAGCTCAATCAGCTCAAAAGAGTGGTGCTATCCATTGCAGGCAAATAGGTAAACCAAGAAACTACTATTCTGTGTACAATAAGCAGAACTAGCCAGGTAGAGCTGCCAAACAGAGCCTAAGCACCCAGATGGAGCCACCAAACAGAGCATAAGTAGTAGGAGAAAACAACAATGTAGATACAAATACATCATAAAGGTGTGAATGGAAAATGAAAGCTACTATACTTGAATTGGAAGTGACTTTGGAAGAGGAGAGATAGGATGAGGTCCGAAAATGATACTGCTTCTTAAAATTGCAAAGTTCGGGCAATTTGAAGACACGAATTGCTCTGCCGCCACTTTTGTTTTTCCATAAACGTTCACAGGTATTGTCTCATCTTCTTCCTTGTAAAAAGATTTAGTCCCTTCATAAACTGATAAAAACTAGAATAAATTCCACGCTAGAAACAAAAAAAAAATTGAAAATGAATGCATAAATAAAGAGATCGCTTTAAATATAGTGATTGCTTATTATCTTACCCTGATCCGTAGATAAATGAATCAGAAAAGTACTATTTTTATCAAAACTTGACAGCCATTTAACAAGATGACAGGGCACATTGATAGCCATGGCAGCTTCAGGATCAGCTTCACAGGCACGAGGGACGGAAAGTGCAGCACAATTAATCACAACATCAGGCTGTCACACTTCAAATTAGCCTTATTATATTATCGATACAAATAAATACGGAGTAACTAGCAATATCTCAAAATCCAGCTTCTAAACCAAAAAACTCTTATGAACTTAAAAAACATCGGATAAAACATTGGGAAAAAAGTATTGTGTTGAACCTGGCCTAGGGTTGCTGATATGGAATCAAAGCCAACTCCATGGCGCAAATCGATAGGAAAATGGAGCGCTTCTGGAAAGGCATCGAGAAGTGGGTGGGGAGGTGGATTGGAGTGGTAAGTGAAGGCCAGGGAGAGAGGATAGGGAAGAGAATGCAGAATCTGAATGAAGCCTTTGAGCAAATGCTGCCCCAGGTAGCCTGTGCCTCCCACGATCAACACCTTCTTCTTCGCCTCATCCATTCTTCCTCTCTATTTTCCCGAATCTTCCGGACGAACTGCAGTACTGTACTACTCCGGTTTTTTCCTTGAGAAGAGAAATGGTCGTAGATGAGACAAAAAAAAGTAAATAAGACTTAGAGAAAAGCTAGAGGTACACACTTTGTGTACACAGTTTGTGTACACTCGTCTGTCTCTTAAGAAAATTTTGTCTGTCACAGACAACTCATATATGAATTGTCTGTGACAGACAAAATTTTCTTAAGAGACAGACGAGTGTACACAAAGTGTGTACACAAAGTGTGTACCTCAAGCATTTTTGTAAGACTTATTTCTTTTTAATCCGTAAATATGACATATTTTATGTGTTGAAACCGCTTTACCCTTCTATTTCCTTCCGGCAAATATCTTCCCCGGGTCCTTATATTCCCTCGCTCTTCTCGACAATCCTTTCGGGAACTTCAGTCCCGGCCTAGGCACTAGGCAGTGGTCGGGTGCCCCAATTTTCGTCTATGCGCTCCGATTAAATGGTTTGCTGTCTAGGTGAATTAGCCGGCCGCCTATGGTACCTATTTGCCCGTCCAGAGCGCCTAATAGGCCACCTAGGCCGTCTAAATTTCCCGAATATTACTTTACTTTTAAATTTTAATTTTCTAAGCGATATAAGTACTTTAACTTTAGCCACGGATATAAAGAAGTGAAGTTGTAAATCAAGACAAAAACTGCATATGTTTGTATATATACCTAAATCTTATTATTATTTATAATTATAACATAATGAAGTTAAGTGATTAGTTATCATATACTGCGTATGATTAATGTGATAATTCTATCCTTCATGTTTGTTAATATATGTGTACATATGTATTTTATACACACATAAATACAATATATTTATCATATTTATGCAAAAATATAGAAAAAATGCAATTTTTATGTATCAGACTAATCCCCGACTAGGCGCCCGCCTAGCCGCCTAGGCGCTAGGCGCTGGGCTGACGCCGGGCCTAGCGCCTTTTAGAACATTGGTCGGGATTAAACGAAACACTCCATGAACGTGAGGAAAAGATCGAGTAGAGAAAGAGAGTTACCGATTTTTGTAGAAATTACAATTCATGCGCGCATATTTGTTTTCGCTAGTACGTAACTGATTTAATAACGATTGTTTCTTGAAATTGAGCTTGTATTTAGTTTCGCAAGCTAGGGACGAAGCTCCACATCAAATTTGAGCAGTTGGGATTGAGTTTTTGGGCTGATTCGAAACTGGTCATTGAGCTCGACTACTGTTCATCGCCCGCAATTTCAAACTCCTCCCACGGGATTTCCGGCAATTTGAGGCATTGGCAGCCAAAACAAAATAAGGATCAGAGGTCACCTTGAATAGGCGCACATCCTCATATAATTTTATTTTCTGAGCACCTTCCATTTGGGCGACTACTGTTCATCTGTGTGACTTAATGCGTGCTATGTTAAAGAAGAAAAATAAAGGTGGTGTCCATACTCCTAAAATTGTCAGGGCATCCAAACAAGCATCAGAAAGCAAAAAAAAAAAAAAAAAAAAAAAAAAAAAAAAAAAAAAAAACAAGCATGAGAAAAAAACAAGCATCAGAAGAAGGTATTGAGGATGCTTTGGAGAACTGAGGTATGTCCCCCAAATGGGATTTTTGTGGTTTACGGTTCATATTAAAGAGGTCTTTTATCTTTCTATTTCTGTTTACATTTAATGTATTTTTAGAGTTTTACTTTGAATGTTTTCGAGCCAGGTAGCAGCCCAAACAAATAAAGAAGTTGGCAATAAAATACCAAATTATCCAAAGTTGTGCCACATATATCAAAAGTGAAGTCTATGCTCAAACATTGCAATCCTTCAATCCTTCGAGGCCTGGTGGTGGAGGTCCTCGAAGGACCGGCGGAGGAGGTCGCCGGAGTAATAGAGACAACAGTTACCAAAGGTCCAACTTTACCAAATGTTGATGTGGTTGAGAAGTGTTTTGGACCTCAAAGACGTAGTCATGTAATTTGTCATGGAGGTGGGGTGACTCGGAAGTATTTGAAGGGACCATCTTGTAAAAAGGCTGAACATGAAGCCAAATTGAATGTCAAAGATGAAGAAAATAGCTACTTGAAGAATCGTCTAAATACATTAGAGGATGAATTCCAAAAGATCAAGGAGAAGCTGCAAAGTCAAGAAAAAAAGCTAGACATTAACACTTGACAATATATCTCTAGTTTTATTTTATGTTTAGAAACTTCATACCTAACGTATCATCTACCTCTTATTTTATTTGTTTTTGAGATACTTTGATGTGCTGAAAAAATATGCTAAGATTTAGTTTTTGTTTGTTTTTGAAACACGTTAATCTTGCTACATTTGAATATTTAATCATTAGTTTTCAAGTTGCTTTAGCTTTGTATGTGCACACTTATAATTGCTTAATTTAATATGTTATATACGTAACATATTATTATTGTGTATGAAACATCATACAATATTTAGTCAGACAAAACTATATATATAACGAGTATCAACATATTTGTTGCTATTGTATAATTTTAATAATTAAAATTTTATATATATATATATATATATATATATATATTACAATTGCGAAGGGATTATAGTCGCTATTTGATATAGAGAGTAGTCTCTACTAATAACATTTGCGTCCACATTTTTGTTGGTCTCAAAAGAAATTAGCGACCAACCTTTTTTATGGTCGCAAAAATCTTTTTGCGGCCAGACCAATAGGGATGAACGCGCGACCACATTTTTTGGTCACAAATTGTCAGTAGTGACCATATATGTTGCTTTTGCAACTATTTTTCCCTTCGCTAATTAATGACCCTTTTTCTTGTAGTGAAACTTGAAGATTGCTGATAGGGTCTATCTACTAACTAGCATGACTGATCAAGCTTGGTTGTGGCATGCAAGGTATGGACATCTAAATTTTCTATCTCTGAGAATGCTTTCAAGCAAGAAGATGGTGGATGGGCTACCAAACATCACACGTGTGAATCAAATGTGTGATGGTTGTATTGTGAGTAAACAACATAGAAACTCACATCCTCAAGTGGCAACTTTCAGAGCACAAGAAAGACTTGAGTTGGTTCATGGGGACTTGTGTAGACCCATATCACCACGACACCACCTACCCCAGGAAACAACAAGTATTTTATGCTTTTAGTAGATGATTTCTCACGCTTCATGTGGACATCACTACTAAAACATAAAGGGGAAGCATTTGAGTCATTCAAGAAGTTCAAACAATTGGCAGAAAAGGAAATGACTTGGAGGTTGAAGTGTTTCAGGACAGATAGGGGGGGTGAGTTTACTTCAGCAGAGTTTAAGAACTATTGCGATGAAGAAGGCATAAAAAGACATCTTACTGCCTCATATTCACCTCAGCAAAATGGGGTAGTAGAGAGGAGAAATCAAACTATCATGGAAATGGCTAGAAGTTTACTGAAAAACAAGAATTTGAAGAACCCAAACTATAAGTTACTTCATCCTCCCACACCCAAACTATGCACTCTTTGAGGTTGAACATTTAGGTGAAATCTCCAATTGTAACAAAAATAATATAATTCGTAGCATTCTAAAAAAGGAGTACTATATTCCCCCTGGCCCTCAACAGGAGTTCTAAAAATTTTATGTCCTATTTTGACATTATAAAACTTAGACATGATAGTATAGTTGGGAGTACTGCACTTGGCGGTACTTCCCAAACATGATCTTAATTTCTCCTAAAATAATTTAGCCCTTATTTAAGGCAATTTTTGTTAATTTATTATGGAAATAGTGAAAGTCATCTTGAAGTGTTCTTCCTATTGTGTATTGAATAGAAACAAATTCTCCAAAGATTGATTTGAGTGTGTGTCACACCCATCATGAATTATAATTTGTTCATATCATTTTTGTCCATCCAGTTTGCATTTTGCCGAAATAAATGTTGGGACTCCTCCCGTGTCTTTCATGGTGGCAATCGACACTGGGAGCGATATCTTGGTTGCCATGTGGATGTAAGAACTGTCTGGACTTATATGTGACAGACACGGAAGAGGTAAGAAAAAGTTCTAGCTATGTATATACCTGGATGGGCCGGTAAAGCATATACTCCTTCCGAAAAGGTTTTCCGTATTATTTTTCTTGATCAATGATCATAAAATTTAGACAATGATTTTAATTATATGTGTATATAATTTATACCATTGTGGAATGACTGAAACCGGCACTAATTTGGAGGATGGCGCAATCAATGGTTTGCTTGGGGTGGGCTATAATACACCTTTGAATGTTCCTGGCTTACTGGCATCCCAAGGGTTAGTACCCAACTCCTTCTCCTTATGCTTTGGCCTTGATGGGAAAGGCAGGCTAGCATTTGGAGACAAGGGTAGCAATGACCAGATGACAACACCATTGGACAAGTAAGTCCACTATTTTATGAATTATGAAGAACATTTTAATTTTCTAAAGGCCTATTATATTGTACTTCCTCCATTCTTTTTTCGTTGCAACATTCACTTTTTCACGTTTGCCCACACACAACTTTGACCGTTATTATATTTAATTTTGTATTAGTAAAAAATAATTAAAAATCAGAATATGAAACTTTTTAATGAGACGAATTCAACAATATTTATCAAAAAAAATAATTCGCATACCTTAATAAATAAAATGTAGTCAAAGTAGAATACATAAATAGTGTGTAATTTGCAATGTTGCAACTAATGTGATACGAAGGATAGTATTGTTCAGAGAAAATTACCTAATTTGGAGGAAAATAGAGTGATAGTGTAAAATTGGGAGTGAAAGATCCTTGAAATGTACATGAAGGGCAAATACTAGCTCCTAGGCAGCTGTTACTTCCGGAAACTAACCGGATATTTAATGTGGTTTGTAAAGTCCAGAAATGTCAATCCTAATCCCGAAAGTTATGTTTGGAAGTTTGGAAGGAATGAGACGGGATGGTTTTGAAGGTTAGTCATTGCATGAGAAGGGCATCGGAGGAGATCAGAAGTGAAGGAAATACTTCTTGTTTGGAAGTAAATGAATTTTGAAAAGAGAGAGACTATGCAGAAATTATACTTAAAATTATTTCAAAATTATGTTGAGTCCTCAAAGAGTTTATCCTACATTCATTTTAAAAATGACTAATTAAAGTGATCATTTAATTAGTTATCTTTCAAAATAACCCAATTTGGAAAACCATAAAGTCGAACATTTTGAAGAGCTTTTTAAGGGAAAGTTCCCGAAATAGGACTAAATAAGTTTGAAAATTCCAAAATAGGACTGCCATGTTTTTATTCCCAAAATAGGAGTAATTACTGTCAAGTTTGGAAAATACTATCATCTTTAAAGTCTGGTACTGCCAAAACATGGCAGTAATTAGTCTTATTTTAGGAATAAAAACATGACGGTCCTATTTTTGGAATATAGAAGTACTTTTAGTCCTATTTAGGGTAATTTCTCGCTTTTTAATGGGTTACAAAAACCATCTAAAACCCTTCTCACGGCGCCTTCTCACCCTATAAAGCTCAAGTACCCCAAATAAACACATCCTAAGGGGTTGGTAAACCATACATTCTAATTATACATCTTAATTAAGATGAGAAAAGTAATTATAACTTCTATTTTGAGAATTTCAAATATATGCTCACACTTTGACCCTGTTAAAATATTTTACTCTTATTCAAAGCAATTTTTATGTTTAGAAACTACTTTTAAGTCTTAAAACATGTCTTTCTTATGCTGGCCGGTTTAATTTGCAAGCTTACTCAAATGCAGTGGGGGTTACAACATACGGATAGAACAAATATCTGTGGGAAATATTGTAACCAACGTTGACATCGTAGCGCTAGTAGATTCGGGTACCTCTGTTACCTGGTTGAATAAATTAAAGAGCCCTATTTTTTTTTATAACAAAGAATATAAGTACCATGGTTGACTCTAATAATTAATAGATACGTAGTACTACGTAACTTGCATTTATAATAAGATGGTTTTACTTGGACTAATTTCAATCCGGTCAGATCAAATCAGACTAGATTTTTACAGTCGAGGCCAAACCAAATTAGATTTCAGCATTTGTAAAATACATGAAGACTAAATATATACCAAATCAAATCAAAACCGGTTTTGACCAGATCAAATTTAAACAGACCAGAACAATTTTGACTAAATCAGATCGGAAAATTTTAATCCAAGTAAAAACATCCTAACATTTGACAATAAATTAATGAAATGCTTTCAAGTGGGGCTTTGCAGTTTAATTCTTTTGTGAAGGACCCACGCATCCCTCGTACTTATGCATATCCTTTCGAGTACTGTTATAGACCAAGGTGAGTTGAGACTTGAGGTGGAGAAATAAAATGGCTTATCCTTTAATTTAGTCTAAATACAGTTAAAACTATTAAGAACAAAACACTTTGTTAGAGGCCCGATTTTCATTAAATATTACACAAACACAACTTATAAAGTTATAGATGAAATATTATTAAGGTTACTATAAATTAAGACACTATTACGGACAGTTACGGTATAATGGTATATGATTATGATCACAAAAATATTAATATAATCATTATCTATAAAAATTTACGTTTTCATTTAATACTCGATCTATAATACATTTATTTTAGTCATACATGATAATTTAATATAGTCTATTTACTCTTTATTTTACTTCTATCGGTTCTATGCATGGCAGCTCAAATCACCACATATATATCCGACGACTCCTCTCTTGACCCTAAAGGTGAAAGGAGGGGCTAATTTTCATATTATTAGTCCCACCTTCATAACGACTCTTCCGGTAATAAATATGTTCCATTCACAATTTTCGTCAGCTACTTTTACTTGACCTACTAACATTGTTTATTCCTTTGTGTTTGTGATAATCCCTTCAGATGATGAACGGACCTGTGTACTGTTTAGGTATTGTCCAAAATAAGAAGTATAAGGTCACTATCATTGGACGTATATGAGTACCTCAAAATGTGTCTTTTATTTGGGTTGATACGTTTAAATTTGACATAATTTAATTTGATATGATCTTATTTGAACTTAATAGAATCTATAGTCTAGTATGACATGATATATTATGTTGTAGTTTATTATTGTATATTCATGTCTCATATTGTCTCACCTAATCTAATACTCCCTCCGTCCCAAAATGGTTGGCCAAATTTCCTTTTTTGGCCGTCCCAAAAAGGTTGGCCATTTTCCTTTAAAGTAATAAATATGTGGCTAAAGTTAATTCTCTCTCCTCTGTACAAATTTCAACCACACAGTTTTTACTTTATTAATCCACGTGCAAGTCAACATTGGCCAACCATTTTGGGACGGAGGGAGTATATTTAAGTATGATCAAGTCTAATCTAGTGTTTGATCGTGAAAATGCGGTTCTGGGATGGA